ACTGAAGCTACCCAGGAAGTATCTATTTGCCCTTTGTTCTTTTTTTTTTTTTTTTGCTGTTTTTGTTTGTTTTCTTTTCTGCTTAATATACTCAAGACATCTTTGTTTTTAGATAAGAGCACATATTGTGTTTACTTGATGCTTTAAAAATACTTGCTGAGGGGGGCTGGAGAGACCACTCATCAGTTAAGAGCACTGAGTGCTCTAGCAGAGAATCTGAGTTCAGTTCCCAGCACCCACATGGTGGCTAACAACCATTTATAACTCCAGTTCCAGGTAATCTGATACCTTGTCTGGCCTCTTCAGGCACGGTACATATGTGGTACACTGAATGCAAGCAGGCAACACTCATATACATAAAACAAAATGTTTTTTTTTTTTAAAGTTCTGAGTACTAGGGCTGGAGAGATGTCTCAGCAGTTAAGAGCACTGGCCGCTCTTGCAGAAGACCTGGGTTCAGCTCCCAGTACCCACATGGTGACTAACAACTGTCCACCATATGGATCTGACACCTTCTTCTGGCCTCCATGGGCATTGTACGACATGGGTGCACTTACATACAAGCAAGTAAAATACTCATAAACATAAAAAATAAAAAAAATAAAACATTTTTTAAAATTGCTGAGTATAGATAATAATTTACTTAATCAGCCCTTTATTGATAGCCTCTGGTAGTTTTTCTAGTTTTGTTATTGTCAATTATGTTGTAATAAGCATTCTTGCACATCTCAGGGAATGTTAGAATTTAAAGGCTGATATCAGTGCATTAGGATTGCTAGATTAAAGTTATGTATATTTCAAATATGAATTTTTTTTTAATTTTTGAAATTTTTATTTACTGTGTATGAGTGTGTATAGAGATCAGAAGACGACCTCAGGTGTTGGTCCATACCTTCTGCCTTGTTTGAGACAAGGTTTCTTTTGTTTTTCTGCTGTGTAGGCCAATCTAACTGGTCTGAAGGCCTCCTTGTCCCCTCCTCATAGGAGTGCTGGGATCACAGATGCTCAGGCTAACTCTGTGCTTTGCTTTTACACGGACTCTGAGGACTCTAACTCAGGTCCTTACATTTGCATGGCAAGCATTTTTACTCCCTGAGCCATCTCACTAGACCCCCCTTCCTTTTTTCTTCTTTTTGAGATTGGGTCTCCCTGTAGCCCCAGCTAGCCTGGGACTCACTATGGAGACCAGGCTGGCCTTGATCTCACAGAGATCTGCCTGCCTCTGCCTCCTGAATGCTAAGACTAAAGGCATGTGCCACCATGTCTAGCTTCCTAGCCTTCTTTTTTAAAACTTATTAAATTTTTGCAAATTTCATATATTGATGTTTAGATCCCCTCCCATATCTACATTCCCCCCATATATATATATGTATACATATATATGTATACATATATTAAGGCCTATAGAGTAAGTTTTGTGTCCCAAATGTCCTTTGGTGTGGGTTCATCCACTGGAACCTGGTCAACCTACCAAGAGTTACACCATTAAATAAATGAGACTGGCTCTCCCCTTCTAAGCAGTCATTGGTTGCCAATACTTCTTCAGGTAGGGTTAGGGGTTCTTACCTGCTTCCCCAGGTCTATGCTGGGATTTTGCCTGACTTGATCTTACGTGCGACTTATGTCTGCTGTTACCATTGCTGTGAGTTCATATGAGTTACTGACCTCTAACCCTCTTTTGAAATATTTTTCAGTCTCATGTATCCCAGGCTGGCCTCAAATATACTATGTAGTAAGCTTGCTGGGATTATAGGCATATGCCACCACATCTAATTTTATTTGGTCCCAGGGACTGAATCCATGGCTCTGTGCATGCTAGTTCAGCACTTTACCAGTTGAGCTGCATCATCAAAGTTTGTTTTTATGGAAGGAAGTTCTTCGTCTCTTCTCTTTTTCAAGACAAAGTCTCATGTAGCCCAGGCTGACCTCTAACTTGCTATTACCTGAGGCGGCCTTCAACTCCAGGTCCTTCTGTCTTCATCTCCCAAGTGATGAGATTATAGTTGTGACTCACTATACTCTATTTTGTGTATAGTGTCTCATCCTAACAGACTATTAACACTGGAGAAAATGTCAAACAAGAAGAAAAGGGAATTTTGAGGGCCAGTAAATAAATTCTTCTGTGGTCAGGCCCTGGTAATCTGCATCATCCTTCCTTGCCAAGGACTGTGTGAAGCCCAAATATATCTACCTGTAAGTGGGGATAATGTTCACATTTTACAGATATGAATATAAATGAAATTGTATTTCCTAACCCTTAGGGATTCTCCAAAGGGATTATGTGATATGTGAGTTCAGAACAGCAGAGTTCAACTTGTTCCAAACAAAAAGGAAGAGATGCAATCTTCCTTTCAGTCATTTTAACTGCTTTCGTATGACCAAATATTTCCTGAGCTAATCAGCCATTGAGAAGAGAGCTGGCTGCCTCTTCTTACTTCAGTTTTGTCTATTTAGCTTTTCTGAAGTTGAAGATTAATGGAACAATAAACACTCCTGTGGGCTACTTTGGATTCACCACTTTTAGAATTTGAGTAGTAACATTTAGCAAAAAGTTTATCAAATGTGAAATTATACTGAGCACTACTGTGTGGGAAGTTCATCCCAGCAAAACAAATTAAACTATTGCAGCAGCAATGTGTTTTTTTGTTTGTTTGTTTGGTTGGTTGGTTTTTTGTCTTTTTGAGACAGGGTCTCCCTGTAGCCCCAGCTGTCTTGGAACTCATTATGTAGACCAGGCTGGCCGCACAAAGATCTGCCTGCCTCTGCCTCCCAAGTGCTGGAATTAAAGGCTTGTGCCAGGCAATGTATGCTTTCAAAAAATAGTTGAATGTAGATGTGTTAGCATAATAAATAAATGCTTTCAAGCTGTTTGGGGCTGGGCAAGAGAAACCCACCAAGTAAGCTTCAAATTTGAATGGTTTGATCTGGTTGCCATCTTTTGGCTATGCGAATGGTGCATACCAGTGCCACAGGTTCAGTAGGTGAGAGGTTTATTTTAGATAGCCTCTCTCTACCCACCAGGCTGTGTCATTTCCCTGGAGACTAGGATCTTCACTGATCATCTCTGGATTAATGGTGTGAGGCTAAATACAGGTTAGAACGTGGGACCTTCTCTCGCTCTCTCCCTTTTAAAAGATTCATTTTTTATTGTATGTGTGTGTGCCTGGATGTATTAAGTGCACCACGTGCGTGCAGGTGCTCCCCGAGGCAAGGGCGGAGCCCCTGGAACCCGATGTGCGCTAAGAACTGAACCCAGGCAGATCCTCTGTAAGAGCAAGTGCTCTTAACCGTTGAGCCATCTCTCTGGCCCTCCAGAAGATGGACGCTCTCCTTAACAAAGTCCAAAGTCTTCTTTTCAGAGGCCTTGACATAACGGAGAAAGACCTAGAAAGAGAGCTTAAGCAGAGACTGATGTGTGTGCGCTTCTCTTTGCAACCTCCACCTCGTTCTGTTGCTCCTTTCCATGTGCTTCAAGCTTTCCAGTTTCTAAGGTTTTTGAAGTTTCTGCTGCCCGCATAAACTGCTTCACGCCTGAGTACAAGCTCCCTTTTCATTCTTAGGATCTCCTCCAGAGAGGGCGAGTAGAGTCCCATTCTCGAAGCTTGTTCCAAGTCTCCGCCTAGTTCCAAGCTCACCTTGGAGATAGGCAGCAAACTCCCAGATCAGTCCTGAGGATCAAGAAGGTGCCCTGCCCGGCGCTGGATTCTGACAAGGAGGGAAATTACTACATTAGCAGGCAGGATTAAGAGAATTCACACCACGAGGTGAATGACTGGGCTCAGAGGCCTTTCTTCCATGGGTGCTGTCATTTCAAAAGAATCTGCTTAAAGACCCGGAAGGATATGAATGGGAGCGGCGGTGCAGACCCGGCTGGGAAGGTTTGGGGCTGGAAGGCTCCCTCCCAGGCTGCAGGGATCTGCAGGCTCAGTGTCTAGGCCCTGCCGGGGCTTTGTCCTCTCAGGAGTCCGATGTCCGGCCCCTCCTCAGTGCTGACCACACGTAATAGCTGAACAAATAAATACATGCTTGTGAGATCTGCATTTCATCCCAGATGGACCCAGGGCCAGAGAAAGTGTGGCCTCTGACCTCCACTTCTGGGCCGAGTCAGGGTTCGGGTTGGGGAAATTCCCGGGACGGGTGGCTGGACGGAAGGGACTGGATATTGGACGCGGTCACGTCCTTGGGTCCTAAACCCAGCAGGGGACGCCAGATGAAGAGGCCCTCCGGTGACCGCCTGGACCAGAGGGTGCAGCGCCCAGGCGCGGCGGGGTGGTGCGGGAGCCTCGGCTCCCTAGGGCCCGCGCGTGGAGGGCGGCGGCGATAGCCGCGGGGTGGCCTTGTCTCGGAGCTCCAGGATCGGGGACCCGCCTTTGCTTTCCTTCCCCAGGCCCGCGCGGTCTCCGCTGAGGTCACCCGGGGCTAGGCGCCCGGCAGAGGCCCGGGGGGCTACGCAACCCCGGACAAGCCGCCGACACACTCCCAGCGCTTCTGCACACTTTCCCACCACCTGGAACCGCCACTCGGGTCCCGAAAGGCCCCAGGCGCGGCGTGGGGGAGTTTCTGTGCCTTCACGGTTGGCTGGGGCTTCTTCCTCGGGATAGCATCCCCCACCCTTTTCCTCTCCAAAGTTCCCTAGAAGACGGACAGAGGTGGAGAAGGTGGCAGACTTGTCTTTTGCAATCTTTCCGGTCCCGAAACTCTAAATCCCCCTGGAGTCTGGCCGAAAGGAGATAACTTGGGGTCGAGGGGAGGGAGCGAGTATGCATTCCTTCCCCCTCCAGCCTCCCACCTGGTTCCACGGCTCCCCTCCCCCGCTGCCCGCTCGGTCCAGCGTCCCGTCTTTCTCAGCCACCTCGGCAGCTGCAGGGTTAAGCTCAGGAATGTGGCGGCGAGGAATGTGCATGCAGATGAGCCGAGCGCGGGGAGGGCCGGGGGCGGAGCGCATGCTAATCACATGCAAATGAGGAGGCCCGTGGGCGCCGGGCTGTTGCTCAGCGGAGCTTCCCGGATCCTAGCCCAGACGGCGTCGGCTGGGGCAGCCTGGGCGCCGCGACCCTCGCCGGCCACTGGGGGACGGGGAGGAGGAGGTGGAAGAGGCGGAGGCAGCGGCGAAGAGGAGGAGGAGGAGGCAGCGGCGAAGAGGAGGAGGAGGAAGAGGAGGAGGAGGAGGGTTCGCTCGCCAGTTCCGACGCAGACATGGTGGACTGATCCCAGGAGGGCCCGAGAGCAGGGTTTCGCGAGGCGGCCCCCGCGCGTGGCCCAGCCGCGCCCCGCGCACCCCTCGCCTGGCTCCGCGTTCCCGCCGCGTCCTGCGCCCGGTCCCTATGGAGGCGCCGCTCGCCGGCGAGGCCGCCGACCATGCCTAGGAGGGCCGGGAGCGGGCAGCTGCCGCTACCCCGGGGCTGGGAGGAGGCCAGGGACTACGACGGCAAGGTCTTCTACATTGACCACAACACCAGGAGGACCAGCTGGATCGACCCCCGGGACAGGTGGGCGGCGGGCCGCAGAGGGGCGCGGGGATCCTCCTGGGAAGTGCGGCTGCTGCTGTTGTTTGGGAGACCTGGCGGTTGCGAGGGGCGTGGGGCGTCTCGGACCGAGCACCCCCGTGGGCTCCCGGGAAGGGAAGGCACGGGACCGCCGGCCTAGGCGGAGCTGTGTTTGTCGGCCGGATGCCCCTACCCGGGCCCCACTGCCTTCTCCACGCCCCTCCGAGACCTTTAGACACTCCCTGCCCCGAGGGAAAGGCAGGATCGGTGCCCTAGGCTGGCACCCCAAGTCCAGTTAGTGGGCTCCGGGGTCATGTGACCCCTACTCAGAACCCCTCTGCACTTTAAAGTTGGCCAGACTGAGGCAAGAGGGCAACTTTCGGCCTCTGTAAAGCACATTGCGGTTAGGGCCTCCTGGAAGCCTCAGGGCACGGTGAGCCGTCCTGGCCACCTGTGGCATCTGTCCATCCATCCTTGGCTCCTATGCTTTTACTGCTTTTGCCAGGGTGCACCCTCAGCTTGGCCGGAGATCCGAACATGGAGAGGGGTCCCATTCCTGGCTTTGTAGTAAGTGTAACTGGCTTTGCCCCTCAGCTTCTAGAAATGGCCTGTTTTAGAGTTTTAACTTTGCACTGCTAGTCCTCACCTGAAAACTTCGTCAGAAGAGATCATCCAAGAAGTTCAAGAGCTGAAGTTCAGTTCTGTGTCTCAACCTTTTTACTCTTAAGAGGAACCTTTCTTAGAATTAAAGTTATTATAAGACTACTAGGAGGGCAGGGTGTGGCATCAGGCATTAGTATAAACCCAACACTTGGGAGATGGAAATAGGATCAGGAGTTGAAGGCCAGCCTGGGTTGCATGAGACCCCGTCTCAAAAACAAAACAAAAAACAAAACAAAACACAAAAGAGTACTAGGTGGTGGTCCTAACTGTAAATTTGTAAACTGTCCATTCAGGAGGTATTCTCTCTCTCTCGTTTTAAAGATTTATTTTTATTTTTAATTCGTGTGTGTGTGTGTGTGTGTGTGTGTGTGTGTGTGTGTGTGTGTGTGTGTGTGTGTGTGTCTGTGAGTGTTATACCATGGGTACCCTTGAAGTGCAGTGGCCCATGAAGCTGGCATTACAGGCAGTTGTAAGCCACCAGATATGGGTACTGGGAACCAAACTCTGGTCCTCTGGAAAGGCAGTAAGTGCTGTTAACTGCTGAGCCATCTCTCCAGCCCTGTTTTGTTTTTGGAGACAGGGACTCATACTGTAGCTCAGGCTGGCTTGGAAATCTCTATCTGACCCCAAACTGACAGCACTACCCTGCTTCAGCTTCCTCAAGGCAGGGATTCCAGGCACACTCTCCATGCCCTGTTAGTTCCTCAGTGTAAATATAAGTGATTTATCATAGGCATGCCTCTGTGGTTTGCAGTTTTATCATTTCTGAAAATTCTTGCCAGCTTTTTAATAGGATATAGTCTGAGGGGTTTATAACCATTTCAGGTGTCTTTCCCATTAAACATTTCCCACCGTTCTTAGTTTGCACCTGAAATACTTTTCTACTTGATAGTCTCACTCTTTTCCTAGGAATATTGTTTTTGAAAGCTATTAAAAAGCAATCATAAGAAAGTTATAAATGACATTATAAATTTTTGGATAATCCTTGTTAAATTATCCATGAAAGTATCAGTTTAGGTTTCCCTCCTGAAATGAGGAAAGGCACCAGTGTCCAGGCCTGATGTTTGTTTGCACAGCCCGTGGCCCGTTGCTGGCCTGATGAAGGTTATGACAAGAGTCACACCTTCACAGCCTCTCCAGGTGTTTCAGTTGTCATAAACTCCATGCTCCAAGCTGGTTATTTGACTTACGCTGTTGCACCTTGAAACTACTTAACAGATAGTAAATGTCAGTGCTGATGGTGTACACCCAACACTAGCTTTAAGGCACTTAAGGCACCTGTATAAATATTTGACTTTTACAGTTGTGTGACAATTCTTTCTGCTTTCGGATACTTGGAGTTTTGGGTTACTGAAGTTGCAGTAAATTCTTGAGCTATCTAGGCAGTTTTGGTTCTATTCTTCAGCTTACATATTTTATTACAGCATCTTGTTTCTTTACCAAAAAGGATTGTAAGAATATGCAATGCCTGATGAAGCAAATAGAAACTGAAGCTATATGGCTTGTCTTATCCATATCACCACTTCGTATACGAGCCAAGCTGGCCTTTTACTTTAAATTGTAATAAACTGGGAATTGCTCTGAACCCTATTTTCAGGAAAGGGAGTAATCAATCCCTATGTCGGGGACAAATAGTTTTAACAAAGATGACTATTTCAGTTTTCCATGAAGTTGTTCAGTCTTTAAGAACATGATGATACAAATTTGAATGATTGTAAATATTTCTGAATTTTGGCATGTGAGTTTTTTTAAAAGATACTCTCTGATATCAGTCATGGTGACATACTAGCTTAAATTCGATTATGTTTTCTTCCAGGGCAATTAGGTGATAGTGAGTTTTCCTAAATAGTGTAGAGCTGGTTAGAGAAGATATTTGGTGTAACTATTAACTTGTCGATATTGCTGCACACTTAGCAAACATATGAAAAGAGCGATGTTCGATGTTCCACCGGCCAGTTGGGAGTATGTGGATTCTTTTGCAGGATCAGATTACAAACCCTGAAAGAAAAAAGAAAAATGGCTTGCTATACTGTGTGTCTACAGTAGTTTTGAACTTTTCAAGTCACTTAATTAAGGTGGTCACAGTGATTTACTCATTCTTTTTTGTTATTTTTATTCTGTTAAGAGTGAGAATTTTGCTTTTGACAGTTCATCAGCATTCATCTGGTGTTTCTGGTTGTCAGAGAGTTATGCTGGGTTAGGAAGGAGGCTAGGGGATTTTCCAAGAACATAATTCCATTCAACAAGTTGTGGTGCTAGAGAGTACAGAAACCATGCTTTAAAATATTTTTAACTGTTTGGAGGTAGATCACATTATGCAAACTTTGCCAGGATGTGATCAGAGCTTTTACAGACCAGTAAATAAGACCCAGTCAAATAGTAGTAGCTGTCCTGTTGACGTTTTAATTTAGGAGCTGAGTCGTAGTTCAGAGACCCCCTGAAAATAGTAGATATAGCCTCTCGTTTTCCTCTGTCCTTAAAGGGTGATCTCATTTCATTCCATTAATGCTCTAGGGTAGATGTTTTTCTTATCTTCCAGTGATAGATGAGGAAATAGAGTCATAGAGCCCTGGAGCCCAGATCTGAAGCTGGGTACTCTGACTCTAGAGCTTGTGCTAATTCCTCAGTTCCTCGTGGGTCTGCCTCCTAAGAATGTCATTTTGTGGGTTCGCTCTCCCCGTTTCCCTGTTATTTTCTTTACCATGGACATCCTTCATCATACCAGTTGGTGTTTATGGTGGACCATAGATCATGGTCAAATGGACCGTTGTTCTAAAAAATATTGCATTCAACATAGGAGAAAAAGATGGGATGGATTCATTGCCTCTTCAAGTATAGGGCTGAAGGGGGCAGGCCTCAGAGAACTGACAGTGCAGTGTTACCCAGAAAGGCAATAATTTTGTCCACTCAAACTTACAAGTTGTACTGCCATACGAAGCAATTTTATGTTAAGACTGATGGACCCTAATCTGTAGTTTATGGCTAGGGTCAGACAGTGTGGCAACCTGTATCCTCTAGTTGAAAAGAGAGACTCCTGGGGTGAAAGTGTGGACTGAGGAGAAAGGGATGCAGGCTGAGTGCATCACTAATGTCAGTGTTAACTTGTGGCTTTCCACACTCAGTTTGTGGCACATGATTAGGATCCCAGGAACTGTCTGTATCCTCTTTCCTGTGATGGCAGAGTAAGTAAATTAGACCAACCCCCGTTAATGTGTAAATTCCTCTAGTCCTAATTGCTTATTACTGCCTTATGTAGCCTTTGTATGTGGTAGATGTGAATGCATGTTGGCTAGGTCAGTTAATGAAGACTGTTAAATTAATGAAAGAGTGTAAGTTGAGCTACTTCCTTATTTCCAGTTTCTTATTGGTCTGTCAAAAAAAAAAAAAAAAAAAAAAAACCCAACACCCATAACTACCAACAACCAGAGATAATCAATTTTCCAGTTGGATTAAAAATAATGAGAAAAGTGGGCTGCTACATTTTGAGAACTAATATGAATTACTTATAAGAGCAAAGAAAATGCCACCAGCTCTGATAGTCTTAATCATACTGCCATGGTCACAGTTGCTGGATTGTTCCTCTCCAGCAGTCTCAGCGTCTCGGTGCCAAGTAGTACAGAGAATTATTTGAGTGATTATGGTATTTGAAATTGTGGAGAGGTTGTTAAAAGAGACTTTAAAAAAAAATCGCTTAAGGAAGTGTTAATTTAAACTAAATTATGATGTCTTCCAAGAATCCCTGAAGAAATATTTCTTGTTTTCAACACAGTTTGCTATAACGTTTGCTGGAATGGTAGTCCCTTAGTATATTTGAATGACTAAGATTTCTTCTGTGACTTTAATGGTCCATAGTTTGCAGTTTAATTTTGTTGCAAGACTCAAGACAATAGTTGGTTTTTTAAGAAAGACTATTATTTATAAATGCGCTGTTTGTTTTGAGCTGCAAATTACTAAGCTGTCAGCTGCAAGTCAGCCATTGTGACATGTGGCCTACAAGCAAACCGGTATTTAAATTTAATGAGAAGAAGCCTGGTACGCTGGGAGAGCATGGATGTTGCCTGCAGGCCCCACACTGCCTTCTAAATAGCACTTGTTTACTTTTTTTTATAAAATCCTGTAGAAAATGAGGCTTTCTCCATAGAGGGGTGTGACCAGCTTCATCTCACTGATGTGGGAGTTAGGGACATGGCAGGAAACAGTCTTAGCTGTGAATTCCTTCACGTAGGACCTGAGTCTATACATGTACCCATCCTGTGAACGTGATTGAAATTGGTTAAACTGACTTCTTGTTAGATTTTGAACTAATTTCTTTATCCAGTTCTGAAACTCCTCTTATTGAA